AAAACTCTGGAGGAGGCTGGCTGCCTTTCAAGTGGAGGGAAAATCCACAGACCAAGTTCAACAATAAAGTAGGAAATAAAGGTGTGGTGGAAAGAGTTTCCTACAAAAGGCTTTAGAAGAAGGGCATCCAAATATATCTGTACATGAAACAAACCGGATAAAGCCTTATCTCATTTAAACTGTGGATATTTGAGATCTAGACTTTTATTTACTCAAATCTTGTCATTCAGAAGATCCTTGATTGGAAAACTTCACAAAATGTCCCTGGTTAACCAAACTTCTGACCCAGCACAGTATTCACACCTGAAGGACTAACCACAGCCACTTAAATTATTGTAATGTATATATTTGTTAAACTTTTAGGTTTGATAATTATATCTCTAGTAGCCAGTACTCTAAATTTAAAAACTGTGGCTGGAGCAACGCCTCGGTTAGTAAAATGCCTGCCGCACAAGCATAATGGTCTGAATTCTGATCAGAGTCACCTACATAAAAGCCCAGCTTGTCTGCACGTACCCGCAACACTGTACGGGACCAGGCAGAGACTTAAAAAGATCCTTCAAGTTTATTGGCCAGCCAGATTATCTGAATTGATATATTCCAGGTTCAGCAAATCCTTGTTTTTAAAAATACAGATGGCTGGGCAGTGGTGGTGCTCACCTTTAATCCCAGCACTTCCGGGAGGCAGAGGCAATCAGATCTCTCAGTTCAAGGCCAGCCAGGGGTACACAGAAGAGATCCTGTCTCAAACACCCACCCCAAAAGGTGGGGGTTGAAGAGGTGGCTCAATGATTAAGAGTACTGGCTGCTCTTCCACAGGACCTGGGTTCAATTCCCAGAACCCACGTGGTGGCTCACAACTGTAACTAGTTCCAGGTGGAAGGATTCAGGCATTATGCTGGCTGCCCTTGTCACCTGGGAGAATGCACTCAGGGTGTAAGGATTCAGGCACTGTGCTGGCTGCCCTTGTCACCTGGGAGAATGCACTCAGGCAGTACTCTGGCCAGCCAAGGGCTCCATGACTGCCTAGTCTGCACACAGGTGCAGAGGACCCCTTTAAAATTAGACAACCCCACCTCCTTACGCTCTCTTTTCCAGCTCTCTTTCCCAGCTTCCCTCTTTCCCGCTGTTCCCGTCTCCCTCTTCTCTTCTGTCTTCTTTGTCTCTGTCCCCTCTGCGTCTCTTCATCTCTTTCTCTTTCCTTCCCCCTTTCCCTTTTTAAAAAAACTTCTCACTTAAGCTCTGTCTGCCTGGCATGTCTGTCCCTCCGTCTTGGTCACCCTCGCCTGCCATGGAATCCCCTTGTGATTTATCACAACACAGGGAATCCTCTTCTGCCCTGAGGGCACTGCACACACATGGTGCATAAACAAAACACCCAGACACATAAAGTTAAAATAAAATACATTAAAAATACAATTTAGAAAGTAAAAAAAATAATCCAGGCAGACATCTGGAGGCGCACTATGAACACACACGTATACTACACACACAGGCACAAGTTTACATATACAATGCTGTGTGTTTCTCAAGGGCCCACCTACAGCAAGCAGACACCCAAGCTTTGCAGAAAGCAGGTCACATCTCCAGAAAAGTAAGTACTACAGCAAAGTGTAAGCTGCCTAGTCCAGTGATCTGTCCACTCAAGAGCGAGTCCAAAGAAAAGAATCTAAGTATTTTAAAATACGGAATACCTTGACATATATCTATATATTTTTTTTTCTTCTTGGTTTAGGCAGGGTTTCTCTGTGTAGCTTTGGAGCCTGTCCTGGAACTTGCACTGTAGACCAGGCTCAGCCTACCTCTCTCTGTCTCTGCTGGTTCTAAAGGCGTACATCACCAATGCCCCCTCCCCCGGCATATTTTTTTTTAAATTGAGAAAAGGTCTTATGCACTCCCGGGTTGGATTTGAACCCCTGATCATCCCTACTTCCATCTACCAAGTGTTGGGATTACATCTGGTTTGAAGTGGAGAGGGCTCAGTGCAAAGGTCGCACCCTCAAACTGTTATTTAACTTAAAAAATTAGATCGTTCTTTAATTTGCACTAAAGGTGCAGAAATGAACTCCTTCCAGGTTAGAAGCTTGATAACTTTCAGCCCTCAACAAGGCTCTTCCAGATGCCCTAAGACCCCAGCTTTCTGTATCTTTGGGCAGCACAGGGCATCCATTAGGCTGACTGGCCACATACCTGGCACTTGTTGGGACTCCTTCATCTCCAGGATATCCCTGATGTAGAGTTTTGCAAAGGCTAGAAACACAGGATCCAAACCCCAAAAGAGGGACGGGATCTCCTCATCCCTTGGACTGGATTCACACTGCATCAAGAGGCTGGGTTGCAGGATCCACTAACCCCGAGAAGCTCGCTTCAGAGCCAAGGCTCTGTAAGAGACATAAAAATAAGTGTTCAGGGTGTTTAATGTGGGTGAGAGTCTTCCAGAAGTCTTAGGAGGGTAAAACAGGGCTTCAGGACCACGTCAAACTCTATGCCTTGAGGGTGGAAAAACAGGCCTCCTTCCAAAGAAATACCAATTTAGAACCAGTTAAACACCAAAGTTTCTTAACAGACAGGGGCTAGGGTAGCCCAGGCTGGCCTTCATCTAGCTATGTAGCTAGAATAGCCTTGAACTACGGTGCTTCCAGACTCCTCCTCCAATACTTGCTTTACGGGCATGTGTAGACACGCCTGGTTTATGCAATGCAGAGGACTAAACGCAAGGGCTTTCTGCACGTTGGGAACGTGCCGTCTGCCAAATGAGCTACAACCCAGAGCACTCACTCTTCACTTTGGGGATAACCATCCACACAGGCGTACCCCAAAAAAAGAGCTTTAACGGATGAATCCGGAGAGTAATGGCGCTCCTGTGGCCGTGAATTTTTGGACCCTGGAGGTGGGGCTATCCACGCTTCGACTTTTCACTTTCGGGGAAGAGCGGAGGAAAGGAAAAAGAAACAAAATCCGAGCCGTTTACAGCCCTTCCCGAGCAGGAGCAGTTGGCCCAGATTGCCGCCACAGTTCCGGTGGCGGGAAGGAAGGAGCGGCGGACGTAGCACACTCCAGCCGGCGCACTTCCTTCCCGCCACCAGCGCCCAGCAGCCGCAAGCCCTTCCCTCTGAGGCCACGCCTCCGATGTCCGCCGCAGACCACGCCCACCTCCGCGCAGAGGCTCCGCCCACGCAGTCTTGTAGGTCGGAGCCCAGCGTAGGCTCTCCCGGGGCCTCCGCGCCCGCTACAGGGCTAATCCCAGAGATTCCGGAACCAGCCCCGGAATTCCTGCAACTCAAATCCCGCCTTCTGTGTCACCTTTGTCTCTCTGATTCCCTCAGACAGTTCCAAAAAACTGGGACGGGATCAAACTTTAATTTTTTTTTATTAGAGCAGGGAGTTGTCCTGACTTATTAAACCAACAAAACAACAAAATTAAGCAGTGGAGTATTTTACATGTTTCTTCACAGCTGGTAAATAATCCGCTGACACTCCGCAGGGATGCTGTGGTCTCACTTGCAGATGTTACGGTTTAAACTTGAGACCAGAATGAATGTGCGGTCTTGTCTCCAACGGAAACCATCCCTACAACACCAGAATACGGTTTGTCTCCTTTTCCCTTCCTTAAGGTACAGTCCAGGATGTTGTACACTTAAGAACTCTTGAGAGCCCGGCGTTTTTGCAAACTGTGACCACAGCACCTCGATGGAGCCCTATCCGCAGCGCTTCTGCTCCTATAAATAAAGCTGCATCACCACAACGCAGGAAATGGTGAGAGTTCTTCCTAACCCATAGGGACTCTGACACGACAGGGGAAGGGCAAGTCATTCCAGCGGCAAAAGAGGCAGGTGGCCAAGGAGATCATTGCTAGACTATCAGAGAAGGAACGTCCAGGGCTGGAATGGAAACTGTGTGTGTCATTAGAACCATGGCTTCCAGTTACCTCCTTGGCCACAGAAGGAGGAGAAAAACAGCGTCTATGGCTGAGTCTCTGGAGTTTAAGATCTATTTAAGTCAAAACCCTCTCTAATGGAAGAGGCTGTCCCCAAGGAAACACAACGGGTAGGACTGATGCTTCCAGCTTACCTGTCAGGTAGAGACAGACAGGTTGGGTGACATTCTCCAGACTGCACACATCTGCTCCAGGGTGGAACCCAAGAAGAAAAGGACTCTTAGATATACTCTCAGGGAAAGAGTGCTAGGTAAGAGCTGTTGGCCCCTCTGGGTTCACTGCCAACCTTGGGTAGGACCACACCCAGGGCGGTAAATAGAAGCAGGTTCCCCTGCTGCCATCTTTTACAGGGATGAGGGGAGTGTGCCTCTTGTTCTGAGCCCAGACCTTAGGAGAAGGTGGTCACCAGGTGGAAGGTGAAATCTGTGGTAGGATTTCCAGATCGCAGAACCTCACTGAGGGGTTTTAGGGAGCTTTGTACAGATCTGGTTCTCCCACTACGGGGATCCCAGGCTGCCTGGGTGCTCCCGAAATCAAGCTCACAGGGCCCCAGGACAGCACCCCACAACACTCAAAGCAGACATTTTAAAAGTCAGTGCTAGGAGCCCTTTCTTTTGACTTGTTGGTGTGAAACAGCTTGAGTTTTGTAGACATGTTTTGAAAGATCATATCACTGTCACCTGAAAGTTAATATTCTAGCAAGTTCTGGAAAATAGTGAGCTTGAACTGTATGTCTCAAAAACCTCAAAGCTCAAATTAGCCTGCTTTTATTGTGACTCCCATATTTACAAGCAGAACAGGGTTTCCTCTGCTTGTGGTGATTTTCTCTTTGAAGTTTATAATTTTGAGATTTTTCTTCTTGATCAAACCCTAATTAGGCTCCTCTGAGCTCAAGTCTCAGACAGGCCTCAACCTTGGCCTGTAAAGATCTGAACAAACACTACCATGGCTCACAACAGGGTCTAGTACCCAACTTCCCCTACATTCCTGAGCAAATCTGACTGCAGAAGAATTGTTTGTTCTAGCTGACACTCAGCCACAGGGAGCCATCTCCCAGCCTCTGTGGGAGGATCAGGGCCTGAATACCACAGGCCACAGTTAAGGAAGTTAGATTAGTTTCACATGGGCTACACTCCCTTCACACTTCGTTAAAATTTCACTGCTTTGACTGCTGAAGCCTGGGTTCCATTCCTTAGTCCCTACTCCCTCCTTTTCTCTAAACAAAACAAAACCCAGTCCGAAGGAACCCGGCTTTTTCTTCTTGTCAGTGGTTACTGAGTACACTCTGTCACACTGTTTATCTTTGCTCCAATGAAGACGACTAGCCCAGGGCATCCTCACTTTGTCAGCATCCTTTGAGTGCTCTCTGTGTGCTTTGGCGCTGGCTGAGAGGAATACTAAGCAATGTCACTGCAGCAAAAGGAGCCACGCATGTGACAGATAGCAAAGCAAGGGCTGGGGTGTAGCTCAGAGGTGGCGCGTTCCTCTAGCTGCTAGAGAATAGAGTGTGCAAGGCCCTGGGTTCAATCCACAGCGTTGGAAAAGAAAAACAACAAAAAACCCAAACGGCAACAAAAGCAAGCAAGAAGCTGCCTTGTGGCTTTGGAGCGTGTGGCCTGGGTTATAACTGCTCTGTGAGACACGGGAGGTAAGCGGAGGGGGCTCATTAGCTGAGATAATGCAGTACAGTCCCGGCTAGAAGAAAGGAAGCCCAATACACATGAACTATTATTTGTATTCACGGGGGCAGCGGCATTCAAACGAGGTTTTCAGAAAACGGAGGAGCCGTTCATCCCTTCATTTATGAAACGTACTTCCAAAGCTTCCGTCAAACGCTGCGCTAGACGCAGGGAAGGAAGGAGAAAAGATGTGGGGGTGGGAGGTAAGGCGAGCCCCCGTGGAGCTTCTGCTTTGTGAGAGGGCAGAGGGCGGACAATGGACAAAGGGACAGGAATAAAAGGAGTACAGTTGCCACAGTTTAGGAGGATATAAGAAGTGTTATGTTTGCGCCTCATGTATACAATCTATTTTCATCACGTGAGACCACTGAGATCTGGGGCCAGGATGCGCCTGCCGGGTAAGGAGTCAGTGGCACCAAGTAGTAAGAAAAGAGCATTCTGGGCAGTAGTCGGGACAGCGTGGATGTCTGGGGGCAGGGCTGCCAAGGACTTCCTTCTTCTAGGAACAGGAAAGAGTGGGGGCGTGTGGCAACTACTCCATAGGAGGTAGGTAGAAGGCAGGTCCAAACCAGCTGGTAGGCCATGCACAGCAACACGGGTTTGTGGGCAATTGCGCCAACAGCCTGGCTGGCTGAGGAGGGCAGGGAGACAGAGTTGAATCGGGCCCTGAAAGCTTGAAGCAGCTCCTAATTTCACTCCTGTAAACAATGGAATGGTGTTTCTTTTGATCAGGGGATGATTTAACACGTTAAAATACCAGGCCCACTGAGAGCTCATCAGGTAAGGGTGCTTGCTAGGAACTTTGAAGCACACAGGCATGCCCCACCTTCCCCTAAATAAATAAATGCAAACCAAAACAAAAGTTAGGACTGCCTGACACTCTTGCATACTGCAGAAATATGCAGAGAGTGTTCTTTGCCCAGTGCACTGAATCATTCCTGAGATTTGTATCTTAGGGACACTCACCAGTGGATGGTGCAGGAAAATAAGTACTGGGGACTTATTTCAGTGGTCTCATCCATGTCACCTGTTCTGCCCCCTACATCATTTTTCCCTGTAGCTCTGAGTGCTCCCTCTCCCTTTCTACTCTCTCTCCCTTCCTCCCTCTCTCCCTCCCTTCCTCCTCCCTCTCTCTTCTTCCCTCTCTCCCTGTCCCCCACCCCTTTCTGGCATATAGCCACTTGGGGAAAATGGCTTCTCTGTGGACCTCCACTCCTTTGATTTCTGCCCTGTAGCTCACAGCCTCCCTTCAGAGCTAAGCTCCTTGGAGGAGTTCTGGGCACTCTCTATACGCACTCCTCATGGTGGCTGTCCATCCAACCCACAATAATCTGACTCACTTTAAGCTTCAAAACAGCCCCAGGCCAACCCACCACTCCGCTGACACTGCTCTCCTATGGTTAGCAATTATATTCAAATTCTCAAATGCAAAGGCTACTCTCCTTATCATCCCCCATTGTAGTTGTGTTTTGTTCTGGCATTGGATATTGAGCTCTCTCACTACCCTTTGACTTCCTGAAGAATCCTTTGTGGTTTCCCTTGTGTCTCACTGTCTCTTTGCATCCTTCTTGTCTGCTCTTGATCTCTTGATCTCCTGCAGCCTTCAGCCTATCTCACCCTGTGCACACCGAGAAGCCTCATTCAAACCTAGGACTTGACCAAGCCAATATTCCAGTGACTCAATGGTTTACACCTAGCCAAGATCTCTTTCTGAGTCCCACATGCCAATTTCCAGTGGACTCTCCTGGGTCAGCCTTGGCCTGCGACTGCTCCCTTCCCTCACTCTGTCTCTCTTGTTCCTACCAAGGTGAATGCCAACCTCATTGCCAATTTGCTAAGAAGCTGGGAAGACTTCAAGGGGACCTCACCCTCTGTCACTCTGAGAGGCAATTAGTCACACACGTATCAACTCTGCTTTTGAAGTATGTTCTCTAACTTAGCTCTCTCCTGTTTTTCTTGTCATAGCCCTAATCCAGGCTTTTGTGGTGATTGCATGGATTGCTGACATCACCATCTAACCAGCTCCTGTACCACCAGCCTTTCCTGCCTGCATCCCATCGTTCATGCTGCAACACAGATGCTCTTCCTAAAACACAGAAGACGAAGGTTGGTTCCTTGTCTAATCGCTCAGTGGTTTTGTGCGGATGGCGGAAGTTTGGCATTCTTTGCATTTCATGCCAGTCTCTCTCAGCCTGGTCATGATGTCTCTCTCTAGACTCATCTCCCACAGAGTCCATGGTTATGCCACACTGCAGCTAGCGTCTCCCAGTGCTGTTCTGAGGAGACTTTTCTCAAGATATCGGGACGTCTGGCTAAATAAATTTGAATTTAAATCCAGTCAGTGGACTCCAACTCAGTGTGCACCAAGGACATCTGAGAAAGGATCTGAGTGGTAAAGCTTGAGGACCAGGCTAGCACTTCAGTGAATTCAACTGGGAGAACACACTGAAGGCATTTGGAACTTACAACTGCTACAATATATCCAGCTGTCTTTTGCCCCTTCCCTTCTGCCTGAGATGCAAATCACTTATGAGTTACTAAAATAACTGTTCTACATGTACAGGGGATACAGAAAAAAAACCCTGTTATATGCTTGACATATAGTAGGAATAGAGGCTTTGGTGAGCCAAACATATAAACACATGATCACAGTGTGTCAGAATGAAGGGTGTCTTGGCAGCATAGGGTGGAGGGCAGAGTTACGTGGCCAGGGGACAGTAACTCTGCCTTCTTCATTTGACTTACCATGAAAATGTGCCCCAGTTTCACCTCCTGTATTTTGAGCTTATTTGTTCTGTGCAAATACACATGTTGTATCTTCTTGTCTCCAATGAGATGACTTGTCTCAAACTCTATTTTGGGGGACAGGGAGATGGTTTTAGTGGGTAAGACAGCTATATGAACAAGCATAAGGACCTGAGTTTGAATCCCTGGCTCCTGTATAAAAGCTGAACATAACTGCATGTGCCTGTAACATTTTATGTTATACATGGTTTGCCAAAGTTTTAAATGTTGAAAAGAACATCAAGGATGGAAAAAATAGAAGAATTTTTTGTTTGCTTGTTTTCTTTTTTGACTGTTTGAGGGTTCACCTTCTTCATGAACGTTTTCAGTAATTACCTAGACCAGGAACCTGATGATGGCTTTGGAGGAAAGAAGCAGTTATTGATGTTCTTTGACCCAGGCCAGCAACAGTACATAGGCCAGAACTCTGGAAAAAGCCAACCAAAATGCCAGAAGTCATCTCTGTAGATGGATTCAGAATCCACTTCAGTGGTGGCAAGATAATTGACTTTGGCATGGTTTAGGATTCCTTGAATTATGCCAAGAGAAATAAGCCCAGACTTGTAAGACATAGCTCTATAAAGAGAAAAAGAGTTTAGCAAACAGTGTTAGAGAGGCAAGAACAGGATAAAGAAAGGCGGGGTCAGTGGTGAGTCAGGTATCTGCAAAGACCCAGGGTTGTGCCGGCAGAAGTTACCTGAGACTGGCCAGGAGGAGGGAAGACTCTGCAGTGACTTGATCTGTGGTGACATGCACGTTTCTAAGCGGAGGACTAATAACCTGCACAATTTTAACAAAAAGTGACTTTTAAGCAGCACATCTCAGGGCAGTGCTGAGCACGGCTTGGTGTTGTGGTGGCTTGAAAGAAAATACCCCCCCAAAGGGAGTGGCACTATTTGGAGGTGTGGCCTTGGTGGAGGAAGTGTGTCACTGTGCGGGTGGGCTTTGAGGTCTTTTCTCAAGCTTCCCTCAGTGTGACAGTCAGTCGACTTCCTGTTGCCTGCAAGATGTGTGGGACTCTCAGCGCTACCCAGCTCTAGTGCCTCATGGCCTACTGCCATGCTCCCCGCTATGATGATAATGGACTGAACCTCTGAAACTGTGAGTCTCCCCAACTAAAGGTTTTCCTTTATAAAGCTGTCATGTTCATGGTGTCTCTTCAAAGCAATGGGAATCCAAACCAAGACATGTGTAAACGTACATGATGACAATCACCTGTGTTCTGTGCTCTGTGTTCTGTGTTCTGTGTTCTGTGCTCTGTGCTCTGTGCTCTGTGTTCTGTGCTCTGTGTTCTGTGTTCTGTGTTCTGTGTCCTGTGCTCTGTGTTCTGTGTCCTGTGCTCTGTGTTCTGTGTTCTGTGTTCTGTGTCCTGTGTCCTGTGTTCTGTGTTCTGTGTTCTGTGTTCTGTGTCCTGTGTCCTGTGTTCTGTGTTCTGTGTTCTGTGTTCTGTGTTCTGTGCTCTGTGCTCTGTGCTCTGTGTTCTGTGCTCTGTGCTCTGTGTTCTGTGTTCTGTGTTCTGTGTTCTGTGTTCTGTGTTCTGTGCTCTGTGCTCTGTGTTCTGTGTCCTGTGTCCTGTGTCCTGTGTCCTGTGTCCTGTGTTCTGTGTTCTGTGTTCTGTGTCCTGTGCTCTGTGTTCTGTGTTCTGTGTTCTGTGCTCTGTGTTCTGTGTTCTGTGTTCTGTGTCCTGTGTTCTGTGTCCTGTGTCCTGTGCTCTGTGCTCTGTGCTCTGTGCTCTGTGTTCTGTGTCCTGTGTCCTGTGTCCTGTGTCCTGTGTCCTGTGTTCTGTGTTCTGTGTTCTGTGTTCTGTGTTCTGTGTTCTGTGTCCTGTGTTCTGTGCTCTGTGTTCTGTGCTCTGTGTTCTGTGTTCTGTGTCCTGTGTCCTGTGTCCTGTGTCCTGTGTCCTGTGTTCTGTGTCCTGTGTCCTGTGCTCTGTGCTCTGTGCTCTGTGCTCTGTGTCCTGTGTCCTGTGTCCTGTGTCCTGTGTCCTGTGTTCTGTGCTCTGTGTTCTGTGTTCTGTGTTCTGTGTTCTGTGTTCTGTGCTCTGTGTCCTGTGTTCTGTGTTCTGTGTCCTGTGCTCTGTGTTCTGTGCTCTGTGCTCTGTGTTCTGTGCTCTGTGTTCTGTGTTCTGTGCTCTGTGTTCTGTGTTCTGTGCTCTGTGCTCTGTGTTCTGTGCTCTGTGTTCTGTGTTCTGTGCTCTGTGTTCTGTGCTCTGTGTTCTGTGTTCTGTGCTCTGTGTTCTGTGCTCTGTGTTCTGTGTTCTGTGTTCTGTGTCCTGTGTCCTGTGCTCTGTGTTCTGTGTTCTGTGTCCTGTGTCCTGTGTCCTGTGCTCTGTGCTCTGTGTTCTGTGTTCTGTGTTCTGTGTTCTGTGTCCTGTGCTCTGTGTTCTGTGTTCTGTGCTCTGTGTTCTGTGCTCTGTGTTCTGTGTTCTGTGTCCTGTGCTCTGTGTCCTGTGCCCTGTGTCCTGTGTTCTGTGTCCTGTGTCCTGTGTCCTGTGCTCTGTGTTCTGTGTTCTGTGTCCTGTGTCCTGTGTCCTGTGTTCTGTGTTCTGTGTTCTGTGTTCTGCCTAATTACATAAGCCACAGGCTCACACTGCTGCTTGTCAAGGGCAGAAGTTCCCACTGTACTGGCAGCTTATGAGATGGGTTCCGTGAACACCCGCTTCCCTGGGAAAGTCAAAGAGGACTTCTGTGGCAGCTGGATGCCCACCAAAGGCCAGGGCTGGCGGTACCACCACTTCCCTAAACATTACCAGCTACAGTGAATTCACCAGTCAGGAATTACCCGATTCTCCTTATAGCTATCTTGCGACAATGTTGCTACACTAAGCATTGGAGAAATTGGATGAATAATCACAATGACAGGCCAGAATAAGGAGATAAAAAAAATGTCAAAAAGGAAATCAGAACTTTTCTTTTCAGGTAAGGCATTGACAAAAAGCTTGTAATTTTGGTCAAATGAGTTATGCACGGATACATCTTCCAAGTCTCCTTTTAACATGTGAATTTAGAGACTTAGCCTAGTTGGTCAGGTTTAAGAGCAAGAGATTTTCCCTGCCAAGCCTAGCAATATATTGTATTTCAATAAAATGTTTCAACTTTATATCCTTATATTTGAGGTTGAATTTTAAATTATCTCTGTTATTTTTAATGATGTGTATGTGTGTTTGCCTATGTGTAGGGACGTGCACTTGAGTGCAGTTCGTGGGAAGGTCAGAAGCATAGGATCTCCTTGGAGCTGGGAGCTTGTTAGCCACAGGATATGGGTACTGGGACCTGAACTCTGGTCCTCTGGAAGAGTAGTCCTGGTTCTTAACTGCTGAGCCATCTCTCCAGCCCCCGAAGTTGCATTTTAAGTTGAGAGAAAATAAAGAGTGAACTTGTTAAATGTGTAAGCCCCCACATTTTGTGTTACTGTTACTTAATGGAGTCCATCATTTTCATGGTGACATAGTTCAAGAGAAGAGATGTAGCACCTCGCAATACTTAATTTGCTGTTTGACAGGAACCAGGGGCTCAAATAACTGTTGATGTCATAAGCCTTAGCGTCTAGTTAGACAACTGAATAGAATTTTGTTTTTTTTTTTGTTTTTGTTTTTTGTTTTTTTGTTTTTTTACGAGACAGGGTTTCTCTGCATTGTTTTGGAGGCTGTCAGTCCAGCCCGGCCTCGAACTCACAGAGATCCACCAGCCTCTGCCTCCCAAGTGCTGGGATTACAGGCGTGCGCCATCACCACCCAGCAGAATTTTGTTTTCTTATCAGTTTGTAATTCTCTCAAGGACTGCTTTCAATCAAAGAAAAAAAATTTAACTCCCAAATGGTGTTAAAGACATCACATTCCAGAGCTTAATTAACGCAGCACTCAGCAAAGATTGGATTGCTATTACGCTGACACCTTTAAGAGCAGATTGGTTGGAGTGATATTATTTGCAGTAGTGTTTAGTGTTATATTAGCCTGGTGGAGAACAGCTGCCCTGGCCCTGATTATTAAACTGGGAGTGAGAGTGAGGTGCTTTTGTGTGTGTGTTTGTGTGTGTGTGTGTGTGTGTGTGTGCTGTCAAAAGCAGGAGACTTTACAGAGTCAGAGTGAACACAACTAATTAACTTGCCGCCTCCCTAGAGACTGCGGTTATCTTCTCTCTATTTCCTTGAATGCATAGATTTTTCCAAGCCCAAACCAAGCCTGGCTCTCAGATCACTCCAGCTGATGCTGACTGACACTCCTTCTTGAGCATCTCTGTGGACAGCATCACACACTCAGTGCTCACTCTGCCTACTGATGCTATGGATGTGAACCTGGTCCCCTAACTCCATGACAAGCTCTACTGACAGCATCACACACTCAGTGCTCACTCTGCCTACTGATGCTATGGATGTGAACCTGGTCCCCTAACTCCATGACAAGCTCTACTGACAGCATCACACACTCAGTGCTTACTCTCTGCTTACTGATGCTGTGGATGTGGACCTGGTCCCCTAACTCTGTGAAAGCTATGTAAACGCATACTTTTTGTTCTGTATTCTAACAGCAAGAGGGATGATAGAAAACATTTTCATTAGAAAAATAATAATGGTTCAGGGGTTGGAGAGACGACTCAGTGATTAACAATGCTTACTACCCTTGCAAAGGACCCAGGTTCGGTTCCCAGTATCCATATCAGGAGGCTCACAACCACTTGTAACTCTGGTTCCAGGGGATCCAATGCACTCTGGACTCCATGAACACTTGCACACATAGGTGTACATACATGCAGGCAAAACACCCATACACGTAGAAGAAAAAATTAAAAATGCAGAATGCTTAGTTCAACTTGCGATTCTAACAAGCAACAACAAATATCTTAATTTGCATGTGTTTATTATAATCTTACTTATATTTTTAAAACCTATTTATAGGTAATACTCTACACATTGCTTAACAACAAAAAGGATATGTGTTATATATCTTATATTTCTTCCATATAAAGGTCACAGGGTGTCTTACACAAGCTAAGATAGCTTTGACATCATTGTGAGGTATAGTATTTCTTTTCCTCCTTCCTTCCTTTCTTCCTTCCTTGAGTGAGAGTCTCACTGTGCAGCCCTGGCTGTCCTGGAACTCACTATGTAGACCAAGTTGGCCTCGAACTCACAGAGATCCACCTGCTTCTGTCTCCCAAGTGCTGGGGTTAAAGGTGTGTACCACCACCCAGCTTGTTTCTAGTTTGGTCTTTTAACTACATGTAACTAGACTTATTGGGGCAGCTTCTACTCTTTTTATATCAAGGATCTGACTTAAGAGACATGAATACTTCTGCTAGATGACTCATTGAAGATGACTGTCAAATATAGTCACTGATATTCTAATAGTCTTTTGTAGTAAAACTACTTCTTATTCTTCACCCAATGCCCCAGAATCATAGCTACAAATATTGATCCATATTCACTGTTACCAGTAACTTAGTTAGGAAACTTGTAGCACACATCAGAATTTTAAGGCTAGACTCCTGGAGTGACTGAACAGTCCATCAAACTGAGGACAGTTTTAATGATGGTTTGATATTCCCATGTCCGAAGCTAGGTCTCAGTACTGGATGTGCCTAACCACCTTAGCTGTGTGTCTTAGTTTGGGTTTCTATCGCTGTGACGAAACACCATGACCAAAGAGCAAATTGGAGAGGAAAGGGATTATTAGGGTCACAATTGGAGAGGAAAGAGATTATTAGGGTTACACTTCAGCGTCGCTGTTCAGGACAAGAACTCAAGCAGGGCAGGATTCCAGAAGCAGGAGTTGATGATGCAGAGACCATGGAGGGAACTCCTTCCTGGCTTGCTTCCCATGGCTTGTTCAGCCCACCTTCTTCTGGAACCCAGGACCAGGCCCCCAGGGATGGCACCACCCACCATGGCTGGGCCCTCCCCCATTGATCACTAAATGAGAAAATGCCTTGCAGCTGGATCTCAGGGCGGCATTTCCTCAGCCGAGGCTCCTTCCTCTGATGACTCTATAGCTTGTGTCAAGTTGACACACAAAACCACCCAGCACACTGTGGCCGAAGCTGTGGTATGTTATCCATTCAGAGCCAAAATCCAGATTTTCATAGCTAATATTTGAGACCTTCTCCAGGGAATTGTTTCACCCACAGCTATGTGCTGTGTTTGTTTGATGGCGGGAACCAGTAACTGTTACATTTTTGTAACAGCAGTTTGTGACATCTGCAGAGTGCCCAGTGCCTGTGTTTCAGCGGTTCTTCAATTTAGCTCCTTTCGCCTCCCTGTGCTTCCTCCATGCCGGGGCAGTGGGAGCACCTGAAAACATACCCCAGTGTTTCCTTCGGGGCAAATCCCAGCGTCTGAGAGTCCAAAGGAATCTGACCTGCAGCTGGTAGACAGGATGGATGTTGGAGGAAGGGAATGTGCTGGGGATAAGGTATCAACTTTAAGGACAGTGAAATGGGACAGAAGTCACCAGTAAGCAATGCATGGGAGAAAGACCAAAGGGGTTTAGGGTGGTGAATCACCAAAATTTAAGTATGAAGCCAAAGATCCAGTTGGGCATTGGTGGCGAATGCCTTACATCTCAGCAGCACTCGGGAGGCAGAGGCGGGAGGATCTCTGTGAGTTCGAGGTCAGTCTGGTCTTCAGAGCGAGTTCCAAGACATTCTGTTACACGGAGAAGCCAAAGATCCCTTTGGCCCCTTCTGCAGTCAAAGTCCAGATTTCTGATGGATGAGACCCAGAACTGAGATGACAAGGCATCAAAGGGCCGGGGAGAGACTCCTCATCCACGGTCCCAACAGAGAAGGAATGAGATCAGAGGACACAAGACAAGGACTCTGGCACTGATAGCTTAGGAAATTTGACGCCCCAGATTTCTTCCAATCCCTCTAGGCCTACAAAGGGAAGTGTTCTTCCAGTTAGTTCAAGCCTCTTTACTTTTGGGGTGGACACATGGAGACCCGTGCCTCTGCCTCCCAAGCGCTGAGACTAAAGGCATGAACCACCACCGCCCGACAAAATGTACTTTTAAAGTTTTATTTTACTTTTATTTATGTGTATCTCAGGGTATATGTGCACATGAATGCCGATACCTGAGGAAGCCTGAGTCGGGTATCAGATCCCCTGGAGTCAGCGTTACAGCGGTTGTGAGCCCCCTGGAGTCAGCGTTACAGCGGTTGTGAGCCGCCTGGAGTCAGCGTTACAGCGGTTGTGAGCCGCCTGGAGTCAGCGTTACAGCGGTTGTGAGCCCCCTGGAGTCAGCGTTACAGCGGTTGTGAGCCCCCTGGAGTGAGTCAGCGTTACAGCGGTTGTGAGCCCCCTGGAGTGAGTCAGCGTTACAGCGGTTGTGAGCCGCCTGGAGTCAGCGTTACAGCGGTTGTGAGCCGCCTGGAGTCAGCGTTACAGCGGTTGTGAGCCCCTGGAGTCAGCGTTACAGCGGTTGTGAGCCCCTGAGTCAGCGTTACAGCGGTTGTGAGCCCCCTGGAGTCAGCGTTACAGCGGTTGTGAGCCCCTGGAGTCAGCGTTACAGCGGTTGTGAGCCGCCTGGAGTCAGCGTTACAGCGGTTGTGAGCCGCCTGGAGTCAGCGTTACAGCGGTTGTGAGCCCCCTGGAGTCAGCGTTACAGCGGTTGTGAGCCCCCTGAGTCAGCGTTACAGCGGTTGTGAGCCGCCTGGAGTCAGCGTTACAGCGGTTGTGAGCCCCCTGGAGTCAGCGTTACAGCGGTTGTGAGCCCCCTGGAGTCAGCGTTACAGCGGTTGTGAGCCCCCTGGAGTCAGCGTTACAGCGGTTGTGAGCCCCCTGGAGTCAGCGTTACAGCGGTTGTGAGCCGCCTGGAGTCAGCGTTACAGCGGTTGTGAGCCGCCTGGAGTCAGCGTTACAGCGGTTGTGAGCCGCCTGGAGTCAGCGTTACAGCGGTTGTGAGCCGCCTGGAGTCAGCGTTACAGCGGTTGTGAGCCCCCTGGAGTCAGCGTTACAGCGGTTGTGAGCCGCCTGGAGTCAGCGTTACAGCGGTTGTGAGCCGCCTGGAGTCAGCGTTACAGCGGTTGTGAGCCCCCTGGAGTCAGCGTTACAGCGGTTGTGAGCCCCCTGGAGTCAGCGTTACAGCGGTTGTGAGCCGCCTGGAGTCAGCGTTACAGCGGTTGTGAGCCGCCTGGAGTCAGCGTTACAGCGGTTGTGAGCCGCCTGGAGTCAGCGTTACAGCGGTTGTGAGCCCCTGGAGTCAGCGTTACAGCGGTTGTGAGCCCCCTGGAGTCAGCGTTACAGCGGTTGTGAGCCCCCTGGAGTCAGCGTTACAGCGGTTGTGAGCCCCCTGGAGTCAGCGTTACAGCGGTTGTGAGCCGCCTGATCTGGGCGCTGGGAACAAAGTCAGCTTAGTATGTGCTCTTCATCTATGAGCCATCTCTCTAGCCTCAAGAATAAAACTTTTAAACACTTTTCCGTGTAACAAAACACATTCCCACTTGGCAAAATAATTTTTAGTTGTGATCATAAAGAGAAAAAGGAGAAAAGAATAGCAATAATGATCAGAAGAGAAACATCTCAGCTGGACTTTGATTTTTTTGAACTTTGCATATAGAGTCATGCGCCATAAGTAAATAATAAAGAGGAAAAACTACAGTACAACAAGGAAAAGTGATGTGAATTCTTTCAGCTACACCAATGTACTTTTTCCTTGAATTATGTATATTTTTAAGCATAGCAATATTGGAGAATATTGCAGTAAGTATTCATATGCCTGGCACTTAAATCTTATGTTATACTTCATCATATTTATGTTATTAAAAAACTTTTTGTTATTGTTTTATTTTGAGGTACAGTTTCATGTAGCCCAGACTGGCTGCAAACTCATAATGTATCCAAGGCTGGCCTTGAACTCCTGACTCTCTGACTCCACCCCTGGAGTGCTGAGATTCTAAGTACACATCATCACACTGGTATACTTCCAGTTCTTCTGTGTGGGAAGTTCATCTCTCCTCACTATTAATTTATTGACTTACTTACTCATTGATATTTCCAGTTTTTCCAGATCTGACCTTTGGGAGCTGTGTGTGTATGTGCCAGAGTTATACTCCCGTCCCTTCATTGGAAGCCTTTTCACTCAGTTCCTGGGCCCTCCATTATACTCTGTTGTTTTAATTTTTGTGCCATTCCTTACCTTCTGACACTGCAAGAAATTTCAAGTTTGTTAGCCAGTTCCTTAGGATGTCCTGGTTTCCTCAATTGGAAAAATAGACATGAAACTCAAAATCTGGTGTAGGTATTTTCTGGGGCCTTCAGGGGATATGGCTGAGAAATGCCTGATTGTATGTATGTATGTATGTATGTATGTATGTATGTATGTATGTATGTATGCCCACTAACTTATGTGTAAACTTTCCTTTTGTTCTTCCTGTCCCTTTTTCCCCTTCCTTCCCTCCCCCTCCCCTTCCTTCTTTTTCCCTTTTTATTCTAGTGCTAGGGACCAAACCAGAATCTTGCTAGGCTACCATTAGCTTCATTCCCATCCCAATTCCTCTTAATTTAGCACCAATAGATAGCTTGCCGTCCCCGTCTTCCCCGACCTCTGCTCTCACCAGCCCAGACTGGAATTCTCTAGTTCCTCCAACTCTAAATTAGACTCTGCAGCAGCTTCTGTTTGCTTTCACAGCACAATCATCTTTCATGATGATTATCCATGTGCCAGATATTCACTGATACTCTTGTTTGATTAACGCTTGTTTCCCAAACAGGACTATTAGCTCATGGGGGCAGAGAACAAGTCTCTTACATGATCACTGTACTCTCAACTCAGAATTTTTTGTTGAGTGTGTGAATGAACAAGATTGTGGGGCTCTGTAGCATGAAAAATAAAAAGCCTAGAGACAAATATTGGGGTTCAAACTTCAAGCTGAAGATCAGAAAAGCAAAGCAGCCAGTCACTAGCTGAAAGGACTCATCCTGTCTCCATGAGCTCTCACCAAGCCTCAGACTTGAGGATGAATGCTAGCTCTGAGACCCTGTTCCTATCTTAAATGCCTTTCACGAGTCCTGGGATTAAAAACTTGTGATCCCAAGTGCTGACATCATCTTTGTGTGAGCTGTTGTTCTTTAGGACTGGATATATTTCGTGTAGTTCGGTGTGGCCTTGAACTAACAGAGATCTGTCTAACTCTAGGTCCCAAATGGTGGGATTAAAGGTATGTACCACAGCTGCCTGATCTCTATAGTTTGAGGCTAGCTTTGCTTTCTGAATTCCCAGGTAGGTTTTAATAAATTATGATAGTATGTCACCATAGGGCTCTTTGATGGAACAAACATAGCTGTGTATGTAGTGGTGGCTTATACATTTGTACTCAGGGGATTACGAATAGGGAAACTATTAGAAACAATTGTGTTCTTGGCCACAAAGAGTCTAGAAAATATGATAGTCTTTTTTGGGGGGCTGTTGGCCTCCATAAATTTGATATGTATTGAGAAGTATCAGCCTGTGTGCTCTATTGACGAGGTACAAGACTGTTGTACTGGTAAACTGACCAATTCTCCTCTCTGTAGTGAACTTGACTCTCTCTCTTCTGCTTGCTGTAGAAGAGCAAAGAGCTTCTATTTAAAGTCATGAGGTCAAAGACTATGATTTTTAGGCCTCCCTGGAGCAAGCCTACACAGGCTGAGTCTCACTCAGGTAGAGTTCATGACAAAGTTTAACTTCAGGCATTTCCTGAAATAATTCCACAGAAGTTCATCTCTCATCATGGAAGCTGAAACAGATGTAGGCTCCTCCGGCACATTCTGTAACTTTCTAGAGACCATAACCCCCACTCCCACCCCACGCAGAAATGTTCAGGTGTGTGTTAGCTGGTTATAATGGCCAGGCACACTCTGTACACAATTTGTCTCATGTTCTCATAGTATTAGGGTAATTTCCTTATTCATCTGTCTATTTTACTGCTTGACTGCGCCCTTCTCATTGGCAGGAATAGAACACAAAGTCAGTGAACATATCTGAGATGACCTGGATTCAGTACCTGGGTTTGACTGTTTCTTTTTAAAAATATTTGTGTGTGTGTGTGTGTGTGTGTGTGTGTGTGTTTAGGTGAGAGGACCATTTCCTCTCCTCCCATGTAAGGTTCTAGGTATTTAAGCTAGAGGTCACCAGGGTTGGTGGCAAGCAACTTTACTCACTGAGCCTTTTTCGCCTGTCTGTTTCCTCTGTAAATTTACTTTTCCCCATATTGTGTTACTTGCTTTTCTACTGCTGTGATAGAATACCATGAACAAATCAGCTTAGAGATGGAAGAGTTTGTTTTGACTTACAGCCACAAAGGATAAGAGTCCTTCACGGTGGAAGGCAAGGCCTCGGGCAACAAGAGCAGGAAGCTGAGAGATCACATCTCCATTCACACACCAGAGGAAGAGAGAACAATGTGGCTGTGGGCGGAGGTCATGGGCTCTCATAATCTGTCCCCTGTAATGTACTTTCTCCAGCAAGCCTCCCCGTCCTAAAAATCCATGACCTCCCAGATGGTGCCACCAACTGGAGACCACGTATTCAAAGCCTTGCGTGTAAGGGAGATATCTCTGTTTCAAACCACCATATGTACGTATCCTGCAGAAAGTTCAAAGAAAACAAAAGCATCACATTCAGAAACAGAGGAGGTCCCTTTAAGAAATCCCTTAGTCTCCCCTAAGGTGGTGGTGATGCAGACCTTTAATCTCAGCACTCCTGAGGCAAAAGCAGGCAGAACTCTGATTTCAGATCTCTTGAGTTCAAGGCCAGCCTGGACTACAGAGTGAGCTCCAGGATGGTCAGGGCACATGAGAACCCTGTCTTGAAAAACAAAACAAAACAAAAATCCTTTAACAAAAACCCTTTAGTTTCAAGAATGATCATATTTTGATGGTAGAAACCAGGACTAACAACGGAAATGAAGGCTTTTCCTCGAAGGGATTGTTTTTACCATCCAGCCCCTTTCCTGCAGGCTTAAGTCTTCCAGGAAGAGTTTACAGGGACAGATTGATTTCACAATTAGATCATGACCTAGGCTAGGGCATTTAATCTCCTTTCATTTCCTTCCCTTTTGGAGAAGTGTAAAGAATCTAGGCATTTTAAGACTTGGCAGGTAGAGACCGGAAAATCAGGGGCTCAAGGTCATCCTCAGCTGTGTAGTCAATTTAAGGCTATCCTTAGATACAAGAGATAATGTCTCAAAAAAAAAAGCATGAGAAATTTAAACATACAGACTAATATAAAGATTAATAAAATTAGCACCTACCCTCAACCTAGGTTTATGCTATTTTTATATTTTTGTCATTATGGCAGAAAAAGTGCTGTGCTCATTAAATCCTATCTCCTTTTCCTTTCCTGGACACACGAAAAGACTGAACCTTTGAGGCTCTTTTGTGGTGAGGTTGACAACACAGCAAAA